GTGGAAATGCTCAGACATGGTACTGACTGCTTATGTCTTTCAGCATAATAAAAAAAAAAAACACCATATGGACATGTTAACAAGGTAAAAAATTAGATTTTCACCAGAGGGGTCTTAAAATAACATGCATCTTTCTTGACAAATAAATGAATGAAGTAGAATATATTACAGTGAATTAGCATTCTCCAGTGAGCAACAAAACACATCTCAACAAAAGATAAATGTCTTTGGCCATATGTTGCTCAGCAAGTAGTACTGTAGCCGGTGAAGCCTGCGAGATCCACGAGTTTTGTGCAAGTGAAGCGGAAGGACGGGTAAGATATGAGAAATGGATGGCGCAATTTAGAAGTGCACGAAGTTAGTGATGACTCAAGAATGTAAATAAAATCAGCTAGCAAGCAAGCAAGCAAGCTCGGCCTCCTCTGGTCCGTCTCCTGTTTCACATAAATATTCATGGATTTTTCTATCTAGGGCCCAAGGACTAAAACTAAATGTTGTGTTTCAGCTGTAGGTGGAGGTGTGGTTGGAAGGAATGAGGATTGTATAGTATGAATACAGCTTCTTTCTCCTCCACACTCACTCTTTCACCTCTTAAGGCAAGTTTGCGCTGTTCCATATGGATGACACGCATATTTGACAGGTCTCGGTGCATCAGAATGTAAATGTAAGCAGCTGTTTGTGTGTGCATCAGCAAGTCTTGAGAGGCCTGGGAAGATGTGCCTCGGTTTTTGAACATATAAGATTTTGCATTAGGTGTCTGATTTTCTAATTATCTATCTCTGTTTATGTTCCTCCAGCAGTTAGAGTATATCTGTAAAGTGGAATAAGGGAAATGTACAGGTGTAGTTGTTCTCCTCTTTCTCTCTGGAGTATTTTTTATTTTTTTATTCCTGGTGTCACTTGCTGCGCCTGTTGCAGTGAAAAATGAGTTTTATTTGAATGCTTATTTCATTACACGGAAGATTTCTTTCCGAACTGTTGGACTGAGTACACGTCCGTGGGATTCAGTATTCAAAACCCCAAATGACTGCACTTTTATAAATGTGGTGATTTCAAGACAGATGATAATAACGATCCATAATGTATTAAAATAACACTTTCACTTGCAGCGAGGATATAATTTTCTGTCTTTTTTTTCTTGAGATGAATAAAAATGTCCACCGTATCGTACAAAACCTGTCCTGCAGCTGCTTAAACTCACGCCCTGAATGTTTTTCCTATTGTGTTTTCTTTTTTTTTTTATCTGTGTCCAGTGCCACTTTTAAATATATGTGTGTGAGTACCATCATCTATTCTAAGGTTAATTAAACGCATATTTTATTTGCCCACAGCGGAAAAGCTATTCAATGCTTTCTACCCCCCAGAATAAGAAGGGGCCAAGGTGAATGGTATTATTTTCCATTCTGTAGCTAAGATAAGAAAAAATATGAGTTAAGGAAAGGGTTGTAGGAAATTGATAGGCTTACGTTTACTAGCTTCTGCATTTTAATTAATCCTTGTGAGTGTGATATGTTGTAAGCCAGCCTGGTGCCTGCACCATTTTGCACCCCCTTTGGAATTAAGCAAGCTGGTTTTGGAGCGGATTAAGATGACCCGTGACAGGAGATATAATACGAAGGTGAAGGCAAATCCTTATTTGTGGATATCTGGCATCAGGTTTATTGTGATCTACAGCAGCACTGTGGATTTCGCTGCATATTCTGGGTGTGCTACAGCTGTGTGTGTTATCGGACTTCAGGCAGAGATGGAGGGAAAGATGAAAAACAGGGAGGGCGGAGAGGGAGAGATTGGGTTTATGCTAACATACTGGTAGGAAGGAAAGGGGATTTATGTGGTCCTTTGTGGCAACTGATGCCATTACACCAGACCCCACCTCAACAGCAGCTTCCCCTCTTGTCTTTGGTTTTTGTACCCCTCTCTCCTCTTTCTATTTACCTTTTGTCTCTGCCTCTGACTACTGGGTTATCCCTTGGGACATGCTTTTCATTTATTCTAGGCCCACACTTTCTTCAATTCTATCTCTCTCATGTCTTTAGGACTCCCCTTTTCTTTTTCTCTCTTCGCGGAATCAATACTGTGGTGCTGGTGAGTGTGTGAATGTGCACTTGTCTCTGTCTTTTCTTCAGTTCACCGTACTTCTATCTATCATCCATATGAATAAAATTATACGTATAAGAAGCATCGGTCCCCACCGCTGAGATGCTGTCAGTTTTTCTAGCGTGTACTTCATTATTATGGCTCCCAGTTGTGCCATCCGTCATTACTCTGCCTTTTACCACACACCCTAAGACATCCAAGGCTACTCACACATAAACAACAAGCTAATAAGCTCCTCTCTTGCTAACTGTGTGGAACACACTGCGAGGGTTGTGCCAAATCATTGTGTAGTTCAGTAGCTCTGCAGTTTTGTTGTGAATGCAAAGCATATTGCACATAAGGTTTAATGTGTTTTTGGAAAACCACGTACAAAGATAAGAAAGCTGATACCATTCTCATGTCTGTGTGGCAGATATGACGCTCATCCAAGAAACAGCTTGCTTACTCAATGCATGCAGCCAAGACATAGGGCCGCATAACCCCCCATAAAACCCTGACTTGTCTGTTTTACGCTCTGGTTTTTGTACGGATTAAACAAACAAGATGTAATGTTTTAATTAGCCAAACTTAAAGTTGGTGGTTGGTTGTTTTTTTTTACTTTTGGACCAAACAAAACGACCTATTTCCATCTCATTTCTGTCACATTAAACTAAGCCATTGCTGTCTTCTGGGTGTTTGGCTGTATTTGGCGTACAGACACAAGTGCAGTATGGATCCTCTCCTATGGCTCCGGTGAGCTTTGGTGAGTCAAATATGATTAATTTACTGTATGTCCATACAGTGTCATCATCCAACTTATATTTGCAGCTGAACTCTGGTCAGTGGCTCACGTGAATGAAAACGACTGCAGCAATCAGTCACTCTGCTTGTCAGAAGAAAGTCACTCCGACACAAACACCACCGCCGCGCACACACACAGAGTTGTTCACGCACTCACACTTTCTTGCCATTTGTCAGCCCCCCCCGCTCTATATATTTCATCATGGCGAGGCGAGGCATTGCTAACACGCCAAGCGAGTGCTTTCTCTTGTTCACTGGCTCTCGCTGTCAAGGAGAGGGATTTTTTTGCCTCTCCCCGTGACAGACCCAAGTGCTTCAATTTTCCCCTTGCTTGGAGAAAGTGACTGCACAAAACCTTTGGAGTCCATAGGCTATCAGAAGAGTGCTACACAGAGCCAGAGTTGGTTCTGCTAAGACTGGGCTGGAAGGTGGATCATGGGGTGGTTAAAATAGAGGAAAAGATTGAAGTCAGTCCAGGCAAGCAGTTGAACAGTGATGCACTGTTTGGATGCAATGTACTTTATTTGCCACCAAATCTAACACAACCTTACATAGAAGGGGTCTAATTAAGCTGTCAGTGCACTTCTCATTCACTCTGCCCAAAGCAAACTGCTCAGATTACAAATACTGCTCCACTGCAGCACTCACTGGTTAACTCTGACTCTGAGTCTTTTACTTCTGTAAACCTGTTCTGGGTTGGTCAGTGTAATATACTGCAAAGCTCTAATCAACTCTATTTCTATTGTTCTATGTCTAATTCCTAATGAGTCTGACGTTATGTAGCAAATCGGTCCTCAGGAAATTAAGACAATATATTTCAAAATGTGGAAACCTCACACTGGATTTAGACTTTACACTTTTCATGCATGTCATTTGAAAAACAATTGTTAAATATAGTTTAATGCATACACAAAGATGGGCCATGCAGTGTAGCCAAGACATTTTAAAAAGCTCTAACCAGACTTGTACCCTTGATCCACTAAGTCAGTCTCAAAGTGGCACCAACAAAATGACAAGGGCTAATAGAAAGGCCCTCTCCTGTCTTCTGTTACAAGATGCATTTAAACACACCACTGGGGCTCCAGCCTGAAAGCCTGTGTAGGCAAAACTTTATTTTAATTTAATTTCCTAACCTTGCTGTCTTGCCAAGTGAATTATAAAACTTTTGACATATTTCCTTTCCCCCAACTGTTTTACCATATGTTTTTCAGGGGTCAGTTGATAGTGTGTGTGCTTACGATGTGCTTTTTCTTATCTCTAATTAAACATCACTTGCTGTGTGCAGAGAATTTGTTCCATTACATGTCAGATATAATCTGTAATTGACAGTCACTGTCTTATTTACTGTAGCGTATAGCAACGACTGGCAGAGAGCAGCAGCAGACGTGATGCTGCATTAGCTTGCTTTGAGACATATGGTGAAAGAGATATTAAAGATTAAATATCTGTCTATTAATTGTGGTTTATAATTAAACCAACTGAAATGACATTAACTGAAGATGAGGGGTGTACATGTCAGAAACTGTAATGTACATTAACTGTAGTACCTGGTTGTGCCACCAGGTGGAGCCTAGAGGGTCGCAGTTTGTTTGTGTTTAACCCTATTCAGGACTTTTGGGGTCTTTTGGACCCCAGGTTATTTGATTTAGGTGACAGGTATTGTTTTTTGTTTTTTTTAATTTTTAAAGTTGTTTTTTTTTTTTTTTTAAATATAAAAAGAGGGACATTGGTCAAGTCCTGAATAGGGTTAATACTGTAGCAGCAAGGGAAGGTGGTCACTTTAACTATGGGCAGTTTTGTGTTGGTAAGCAGAGACCATTGTGGGGGAGTTTGCGTGCAACGAATCACCATAACAGAGACTTCCGTAGTGGTTAATGTCTCCCGACCAGTGCTTATTCAGTGAAAATGAGCCAAAAGTTACCGGGATGGCATTTTTATTGCCAAATGGTTTATGTAATTTACCCAGTTCTGCAGCGAATGTTAAGTGTCCATGGTGAAAACTTACATTATCATTTGTTTTGGTGATTAATCGATTACTGATTGATATTGCGGCAGAAGAAAGAAAACTGTTTAAAACGCGCGTGACTTTGTGGTAATGTTGAGCGTTTCCTCTCTGTCTACAGCAAAGAAGACGTGTGCAACCACAGACTTCGCCTGCAAGAATGGACAGTGTGTTCCTGCTAGGTGGCGCTGCGATGGAGAACCAGAGTGTGCAGACGGTTCAGACGAGGCTGACGCAATCTGCAGTAAGTAGCAGAACAGACACTCTGATGGACAGGGAGACACAACTATGCACGTATACAAACAGTACCACAAAAGTAAATACAGTCAAAAAGGTCACGAGTTCTTCAACACACACACTCAGGTGGGTCCACACACACATTTAACTGGTCTCACATGTTAGCAGCTACAAACATACCTGTTTGCATGTGTGTTTGTGTGAGTGTTTGTGCATGCATGTACGTGTTCTAATGAAATGAAAGTCTACAATAGTACATGCATTTCCTGAACTGCATATACACCAGCGTGAAGTCAGTGTTTTTGTCTCTTTTACAGTCATGTACTCGCGTATAAAGTAGTTGACCTCCACACAATTACATGCACACACACATTTCCTTCAGCATAAAGCACTCCCAAGGTCGCTCATTCTCAGCGTGTCACATTTTTCTGCGCTCCAGCCGCTGTGCCAACCTTCTATTTCTTGCACATTGCCTCAGAAAATTGCTTTTAGTTGCTTTCGGGTGTTGGCTGCACCATCACACACAGGGCCTCCTTACCTGGTTAGATCAAGGCCACAGAGGGCGGAAGAGTGGATGAGATGTGGACTTCTTTAATGTTATTTCCACAGAGCACACTACCAGAGGAGTAAAAAGTGAAAATTAGAAATGTTTACCCAACCCTGAATTCATCACTTTCTCATTAAGCAGCTCATGACACAAGAAAATCTATTCTATAAATTACATGTTTAGGTCAGTTACGCAGTGCATTTTAAAATATCATATATTATCTCTTAGACTCTAATAAAAGGGTATTACTTTATTGTAATGGTGCACCGCAGCCAATTTAGGTAAAATTGCAGTGTTCCGTGTCTGTTTATCGGTATCTTGGATGTGTTTTAATGGGCAGATAAAAAACCTTTATTTGACTGTCCTTTTATCATATAAAGTGAGCGATGATGAATTATACATTTGAGGCAACTTTGGAAAATGGAAATGCAGCAGTGCAGGTGACAGCTCTAATTATCAATGAATTCATTAAGCCTGTATTCTTCCTCCTGCATTGAAAAAGGAATCCATGAATATGCTGGACACTAGATGTCTTCGACATCCCGCTAAATATAATTTCTCAGTGCTTCTTACTAGTGGTTTCAGATTTCCACATCACGTATAAAGACGGGTGACGAATTAAGGTGCAAACCTAAATTCTTAACCGCTAATGTGACGGGATCCACTGTCTCTTATGATGTAGGAGGCATTTTGCCGTTGGTTTGGGTCCACTTAACCCCCTAAAGTAAAGGGTCGCTGCAGATCAATACAAAGTTGTTCTGAGTGATCACCTTTATCCTCTGCTGAAACGTTTCTATTAGATGGGAGGGATCTCTTTCAGGATGACAATGCCTCCATCCAAAGGGGAAGAGGGGTCTCTAAATGGTGTGATGAGTATAAAAGCGATTTGAATCATGTGCTGTGGATTTGCAGTCACTAGTTGTGCACTAATGGCTGATTTTTGACTGGTGTGTCAGACAGTGCTCTCCACCACCATAATCAAAATATCAAATGAGGAAATACAGTCATGACTTGACAATCTGACCCTTAACAATCCGAAAACCTTGCTATCCGACAGGTTTTTAGGAAAAACCAACGGCCCTCATAAAAAATAGCCTTAACATACCGACAGCCTTGGATTCCAACTCCGACGTGACGTTTTATGTCACAAATAAGGATGACGGTGTATTATCTGACTGAACAATCTGACAGATTTACTTACCTTTGATGTTAATTGACAGACCCGTGCACAAGCGCACCAGTCAGTTAAGCGTGAAATCCAGCGACGCATAATGTTCTAACAACACACTAGTCCTACTCATTGAGTGAGTTTGCCCATCAAATTAAGTTTTGCAAGATTTGCATCAGTTTGTTAGTGAACAACTCTACATGTGTGGAACACAGAAAGGACAGGTTTGGTGCTTTGAAGCTCTTTGAAGTATTAAACAATGTGACATGTTTGGACACCTGAACAATTCTTTGAACCTATAAATACTGCGGATGTATCAGGCTTATCAATCATAGAAACAAATTGCTTCGATACTGTTACACGCCACACATCATACGTAAAATTACATCTACCAAGTTTATTTTGTTTCATATAAATCATAACAATATCCTATACGTAGATAATTATAACAACTATAAACAATGAATATTAACAACAAATGACCCTTCAAGCGTCAAGCCCTCCTTGTATCGAGACCTCCATCTTGACAATCCGACAGCCTTGCTATCCGACATAAAAGAAGGTTTTACATTTCGTGTTGAATTATCAAGTCACGACTGTATATGTTAGAAGAATGGTGTCCCACAGATTCCAAGATCCACTGAAGCAGTTCCAGCAGCATGTGGTGGCCCAACACATGACAAAAACACTTTATGTTGGTTTTTGATTTGTCACCAGTTTAAACCTAAGTTGCATTCTGGATCACAATTGGCTTCCAAACTACTGATGCCATGCTATCACAAATAATGCTTGTACATAAAAAAAAATGCATTCAGCATTAAGGTTAATATGGTAAAAATTTCTCATAGATAGATAGATAGATAGATAGATAGATAGACAGAGATAACTTTAATGTCATTCCAGCACACATGCATAAAAAACAGTGAACTAGAGTCAAATTTCATTGCCTAATGCTCTCTGCGACAGTTAAAAAAAAAATACAATCATCGGCCATAACAGTGCTTTCGAGTGCATACAATAAAAAAGATCTGTAATAAATATATGCTGTTCGATTCTCGAAAAAACCACCCACTTTCATTAATGGTACAGCTGTGGAGATTATAAGCCAGTATGAGTATTTGGGCACCATCTTGGATGACAAACTGACCTTCGAGGCCAACGCGGACATCATCTGCATGAAAGCCGACCAGAGACTGTTCTTTTTGAAGGAAGCTAAGAGATTTTAATGTTGACAGTTTGCTTTTAAAAATGTTTTATTCATCCTTTATTGAGTTTTTTTTGCAGTGATTTGCTGGTACGGAAACCTTAGCATCACTAATAAAAATCTCTTGGGGAGCATTGTCAAACTTTGCCACTGGCAGTAGCCTGCAGCAGCTTGACAATGTTTATCAAGTAAGAGCCATTCAGAGGGCAGAGGTCATCTTAGCCAACCCACACCACCACAACCAGGTATACCTTCCCCAAGAGGGCCAAATCAAATGGATACCTCAGATCATTTGTTCCCTCAGCTGTAGGATTTCTAAATAAGCTTTAGGCTTGTGTCCTTGCACCGTAGGCTACATATATGGTCATGATAACTCACCTGATGACATTTATTATTTCTATCTATGTTTCTATGGATTGTACCGTACTGTTTTATGGCATGAATTTCATTGTCAACTGCTGTTGCAAATCAAATTGCCCAAATTGGGACAATAAAGACTTTCTAATTTAATCTAATCAAACTGCAGAGGAGACTATTATTCACATCTATGCAATTGCGTATGTTAGACCATATGTCCATTAGTGCTCAAAAACATCAGCTTTTGTGATTTAAAAGAAGATGTAATCCTGTGTTCTCAGCATAGTAGTTATGAAATCCCGTTACAAAGCCTGAAAACAGACCTTCCCTATTACACTCTCATTTCAAAGGCTGGCAGGTGGGGAGGTCACTCAAGTGCTGTGATTATGAAAAATGCAATACTGCCCACTATGATTACTGGGTTTTTAACAGATTCACAGGTAGAGGACTGGTCTATAAAGCGGTGTGATCAGTATAGTATGGCGTGGGGAGGGATCATATAGTGCCTGTGTGTTTGTATAGGAGAGCTAAAAACTCAGAAAAGTAGGAAAGGGAGTGAGGTCAGAGACTTAGTGTGGGTGTGTAGGTGTTAAGCAGTGTTTAAGGGCTGGTTAGTATTTTTAGACGCTTTTTCTTTTTGAATGGAAGGTGATTAACTGGCTGCAAGAAGCAAATGATAGAGGTTAAATTACTTCTATGACACAAGGAGGCTTTTAGGGGACTATGTAATAGCTTTGCAAGTTATGAACTGTGTCTTTTAGTTTTCCAAGACTGGACTCATGGAGTCAAGGAGTCTGGCTTTTAGTATATCGGCCAATAACTGGGTAAGAAAAGACTTGAGAAATGATTTTATAGACTGTGTACTGTGTGTATAAGCATGCCTTAATTTGGAGAGAAGAGTAAAGAGGTTTAGGTGTCGATCTGTTTGAATGAGTTATTGGATGATTTTAGGGAAGATTATGTTTTGAATATCATTAAATCTCTCAAAGTAAGAGACTATTTGGTGAAGGGGATCCATATCCAATTTGCCAGAGCTGCATTTTTCATTATTTTTTACTACTAACATCCTCCCATTACCTTTTTGAATTAGCGTAAAAAAATAGAGAAACACAGCTTGTGTGGAGCTTGTGTTCCAACTGACGGTAGCACTTCATCACAAAACACAGTGTCCTCATTCGGATTACTGTTATTACAGCCAGGCTGCTGTGCAGAAAAAAAAAAGAAGATACCTGACAAAAAAAGTTGCTCAGCTTTTGCTACTTGGTAGAGGAACATACAACCATCAGCCTCAACATTAAGACCACCTGGTTAATACAGTGTAGAGCCCCCTTGGGCCACCAACACTGTTCTGACCAGTGGGGAATAGACGCAAGACCTCTGGGATGGCCTGTGGTGTTTGGCAGCAGGACTTTGGCGATGGAACCCACAGGTGCTTATACAGATTGAGATATAGGGCAGTTACAGGACAGGTCAATGCCTTGGGCTCTTTGTCATGTTACCCAAGCCGTTCCTGGGCAGTTTTGTGGTTTGGTGGGGTACATTGTCCCACCAGGTGAGGCTGCTGATGTTTGAGACGGCTGTGTTCATGAAGGGATGTGCTTGGTCTCGATCAATGTCTAGGATGTTCATCCACATGAGTGACAGGATTCAGCGTTTATCCAGTAAAACAATGCACTATAACAAGATGTTACACACTTCTGGTTTTAATATTATGGCTCATATGTGTAAACC